AAAAATAAGTAAAAAAAAAAAAAAAACCATGAAGTGAAAATTATATGTGGTAGGCCGGGTACCGTGCTCACTCTTGTAATCCCAGCACTTTGTAAGGCGAAGATTGGAGGATTGCTTGAGGCCAAGAGTTCCAGACCAGCCTGGGCAACATAGCTGACCCTCATCTCTACAAAAAATTTAAAAATTAGGGCGTGGTGGTGCATACCTGTAGTCCCAGCAACTCAGGAGACTGAGGTGGGAGGATCCCTCGAGCCTGGGAGTTCGAGGCTGCAGTGAGCTATCACCGTGTCACTACACTCCAGCCTGGGTGACAGAAAGAGATGCTGTCTCTTAAAAAAACAAGCAAACAAAAGGAAAAAAAATCTCTCTCTTTTTATATATACGTATATGTGGCATGGAAAAATAGCAAAAAGCATAAAGGTAATCCAGGAATGCCTAAAGTCTAAAGTCTAGGGAATATTGCTTTGGCCATATGACTTGAAAACAAACAGTAGTCGGAAAGGTTATCTGCCCTGTCACAGTGGCAGCAGGGCAGCCAGTGAGCCCCACAGCCTAGCACATGCCCTGTTTAAAGGGGCATCCAAGTAGATAAAGGGCCCAGATTAAATGGGGCAGGATGATATTTTGAGGTATCTGATTTTGTTCTTTGTGCTATGAATTTCACTCCCTGGCCTTCCCCTCTGTGTAAGGCAGCCAAGCTCAATGCCCCAGAGGGAAGTGAAAGAAAAAGCAGAAACAAAGGACTATGGAAGGAAAAGAAAATTATAGGTGAGTCACCTACAAAGCAATAAATAGTAATATGATCATGTATATTTAAAAAAAACAAAAAAACCGTATCCTGATAAGTCTCATCTTGATTCTGAAATTTAGGTGGGAGATTGGAATTTAGGTAGAACTAGAACACGGACATATAGATAGACCTTATCACCCCAAAGAGGCTACTACCTAGAAATAAGTGTTCAAACCCAAGTTTTTAAGTATATTTTTAAACTAACTAAGGGCAGAGAGATCTAGATTGACATATTCCATCTATAACTAAACTACGGAGAGAATTATTAGAACTACTTCCTAAGAATGTTAAATAAATAGATTTTCATCAATCTTTCCTAGAGTATATAATGAATATTTGTTAATATAGTAGTTACATCACAGTTTTAACCTTGAGCTATATAGAACATTTGGTGAACCAGATTAACAAACTGGAAATGATAATACATTCTAAGACACTCTTCAGGAAGGACATGAACTCCACCGATTCATGTTATGGATTACAGCTGGGATCCAACTGATTTGTAGATTGTGTTATCCTGATGTTTCTGTATTATACCACATGAAGAGGGTCCCTGTCTGTCTCTGACAGGATAATATTAATTTTATTCTCCAAGTGAGCATCCAACATATCTCGAAGGTCAGAAAGAAAGCCTCGTTCAGTGTTGCTATGTTCACAAAGGATGACATTTATTCCTTGGGAAGTAGCATCCAGAATATCATGATGGGACATCTCACCTGCCAAAAAGGAAAGACAAATACTTACATATTAGACATGGAATCTGTGGAATGCAGAAACACCAAGTTTGTATTCTGTATAAAGTAAACATAATACAGTAGAATTACTTTTACACATAAATTTAGAAAGCTATGTACAGTTTTCTTACATGTCCTCCAACTTAAAAAGAGAGAGACCATCTCACTGAGAATTCCAAGTTCTTTCTCTTTAGCAGACCCCAAGACAAGTGTCCAATCCAACATATCCAGCCAGAACCAGATCTGTAAGAACACCCCTTGGAAATGTTTCCACAATAAAATAAATGACCACTGCTAAGTAAAACAGGGTTTTCAGAAAGTGTGCTTCTTATGTAAGTAATAAATAAATACCTCAGGAGAAAATCCTAGGTATACTTCCCAGAAGACTCTTTTATGCTTTGTGAGCACCAATATTTTCAGCATCAACCTTAGTCTAACTCGAAAGGATGAAATGAGTTTAAGATTATTTCTAGATTAAAAACAAAGTATTTTTCTTTGACCTAGGCAAAATTCCTTGAAATTCTGAAGTTACTGATAGAAGAAGATCTTGTCTTTTGTGAAAAGATTTGGAGAGAACTAAAATATAATGTTTTGAATTTTTAAAAATACCACGTGTGAATTTTATGACTTCTAATTTAAGAGCAAAAATGTGTACAATTTGGTGCACATAAAAACATAAGTTTTAACTATATTTAGAGACATAAAGGTATAAAAAAGAAAAAAGGTTCAAAGGAAAAAGTGAGTTTATCCCCAGAAATTTTCAATTTTCCACATTTTCCCCCCAATATGTGTCATTTCACTGTAAGGAATAGTTTTTATTCATGTACCTTTTAACATATCTTAATCTATAATAGTAAAAGTAAAGTAAAAAGGGAGAAAAAGACATTAAAGTGGCCCAGTTAGAAGCCATGCTTTAGGAAAGATAAGTCTGGCTGCCTGGACTATTATAAACTCACTAGCTGGAGACAGCACAAAAGTGGGGAAATCAGTGAAGACCCTGCAATAGCTGAAGCCAAAGGAAAGAAGAGCTTGGCTCAGGATGGCAGTTGCAGGAAAGAGAAAGAGACAAGTGAGAGAGAATTTACATTTGCAAGGAGCAAGCTCCCCATCTGCTGGTCTTTATAGGATATTACCCTTGACCCAATACCATGCAAACTACCTCAGGCTCACAGGAAGGGTGGTGAGCTTCACCAGTAGCCAATAGTTGGTCCTTTAGCTGGTGTTTCCCATCCCTGAAGTTATATTCAAAGTGATGCCTCACATAACATAGACATCTAAAGTTAGCCAGGTAATATATGTTCTATTTCTCCCTATAGCCAGATCGGAAAGGCATTTTAACATTTTGGAACTGTTTGAATTTATCTTATGCACACAATACTTTCAATTTTTAAAAAAATTAAAGTTATTTATGAAGAAGTAATCAGACACCCCAAAATGAGAGATAACCATAAAAAAATGACCTATAGGCCGGGCGCGGTGGCTCACGCCTGTAATCCTAGCTCTCTGGGAGGCCGAGGCGGGCAGATTGTTTGAGCTCAGGAGTTCGAAACCAGCCTG